ACGTGGGCCGGGACTCTTCGACGACGACGACGACGACCCTGATTTGCACCATGAGCCTGTGCATTGACAGCTGGTATGGGTTAGCGGCCGTGCGACACTTATTACTACCACGGTTTATTTTTTATTACCACTGTTACTACTACTACTACTACTACTACTACTACTACTACTACTACTACTACTACTACTACTGATAATAATAATAATAGTAACGCCGTCACCAGTAGTAGTAGTAGTAGTAGTAGTAGTAGTAGTACTACTACTACTACTTCGACAACAACTACTACTACCACTACTACTACTACTGCTGCTACTACTACTACTACTATTACTACTACTGTTACTACTACTACTATTACTACTACTACTACTACTACTACTATTACTACGGCTACTACTACTACTACTACTTCTACTACTACTACTACTACTACTACTACTACTACGACTACTACTACTACTACTACTACTACTACTACTACTACTACTACTACTACTACTACTACTACTACTACTACTACTACTACTACTACTACTACTACTACTACTACTACTACTACTACTACTACTACTAGTACTACTACTACTACTACGACTACTACTACTACTACTACTACTACTACTACTACCACTACTGCGACGACGACGACGACGACGACGGCGACGACGGCGACGACGGTGGCGACGACGATGACGACGACGAGGACAACTACTACAACTACAACAACAACTACTGCTACTACTACTACTACTACTGCTACTACTGCTACTACTACCACTACCACACTACTACTACTACTACTACCGCCACTACTACTACTACTACTACTACTACTACTACTACTACTACTACTACTACTACTACTACTACTACTACTACTACTACTACTACTCTACTACTACTACTACTTCTACACTACTACCACCACTACTACTACTACTACTACTACTACTACTACTACTACTATTACTACTACGACAACAACAACTACTACTACTACTACTACTACTACTACCACTACTACTACTACTGCTACTACTACTGCTACTACTACTACTACTACTACTACTACTACTACTACTACTACTACTACTACTACTACTACTACTGACGGAAGCACCTGCGAACGCCAGGGGACGCCTGGGGTCGTACGTGGGTGTGTTTAGGAGCGTCTGGGAGCACCGAAGGGCTTGAGGCATTCTCAGGATTCCTTTGGATTCCTGCGTGTTCCTGAAGCCCCAATGTGTTCTCAGGGTTTCTTTGTGTTCCTGGGGGTTCCCCATGCTCCCTATGGTTTCTCCAAGATTCCTCACGAAACCGCAGGAATATTCACGAACTCATGGGAGTTCCATCGGGTTCCCGACGATCCTCTGCGCAAGCAGATTTCAAGCAGAGTGCGGTCAACCTGGCTGCGGTTACTACCAGTACAACAGCAATTATTGTTTATTGTCATTACTACTACTACTACTACTACTACTACTACTACTACTTTTACTACGGCTACTACTACTACTACTACTACTACTACTACTACTATTGCTACTACTACTACTACTACTACAACTCCCACCACTACTACTATTGTTATTACTACTACTACTACTACTACTACTACGATTACTAGTTCTACGACTCCTACTGCTACTACTTCTTACTACTGCTACTTCTATTACCTCTACTACTACTACTACTACTACTACCACTACCACTAGAACTACTACTACTACTACCACCACCACTACTACCACTACTACTACTGCTACAACTATTTCTACTACTACTACTACGACTACTGCCACGATTGCTACTACCTGCTGCTACTACTACTACTACTACTACTACTACGACTATTAGGACTACTACTACTACTACTACCACTACTACTACTACTACTACTACTACTACTACTACTACTACTACTACTACGGCTACGACTGCTAGTACTACTACTACGACTACTACGACCACTACCAGTACCACTGCTACTATTAGTATTAGTACTAATACTACCACGATTACTACTACTACTACTACTACTACTACTACTACTACTACTACTATTACAAGTACTACTACTACTACTACTACTACTTTTACTAGTACTACTACTATTACTCTTGCACCTTCTACTATTACTACTACTACCGCTACCACTACCACTACTACTACTACCACCACTACTACTACTACTACTACTACTACTACTACTACTACTACGACAACAACTACTATTACTACTACTACTACTACTGCTACTACTACTACTACTACTACTACTACTGGTACCTACCTACCTACCTACCTCCCTACCTACCCCCTACCTGCCTACCGATCTACCCACTTACCGACCGACCTACCTACTACTACAACTACTACAACAACTACGACTACTACTACTACTACTACTACTACTACTACTACTACTCTTACTACTACTACTACTACTACTACTACTACTACTACTAGTAGTACTACTACTACTACTACCACTACTACTACTACTGCTACCACTACTACTACTACTACTACTACTAGTAGTACTACTACTACTACTACTACCACCAGTACTACTACTAATATTACTACTACTTATATAATTACTACTACTACTACTACTACTGCTACTACTACTACTACTACTACTACTACTACCACCACTGCTGCTACTTCTGCTACTGCTGCTGCTGCGATTACCCCTACTACTGCTACTACTAGTGCTACTACTACAACAACATCGACGACAACAGCAACAACTCCTACTACTACTACTACTACTACGATCACTACTACTACTACTACTACTACTACTACTACTACTTCCGCTACTGCTGCTACTACTACTAAATCTACTTCTACTTCTACTTCTACTACTACTTCTACTTCTACTTCTACTTCTACTACCACGACGACGACGACTACTACTACTACTCCTACTACTACTACTACTACTACTACTACTTCTACTACTACGACTACTACTTCTACTACTACTACTACTACTACAATTACTACTACTACTACTACTACTACTACTACTACTACTACTACTACTACGACTACGACTACGACTACGACGACTACTACTACTACTACAATTACTACTGCTACTACTACTACTACTACTACTACTACCGCTGCTACTACTACTACTACTACTACTACTACTACTACTACTCATATGCAATGGGCTACTGGCTGTAGCACTGGTGCTTGGCTTTTCTGTCGTCTCTGGTATCGTTTTTGATGTATTGGCTGCGGTTGTCGCCGGAGTTGTTGTATTTCCTGACGTAATGGTTGTAGTCTTGGCAATCGTATTGGTTGGCGCTTGTCATCGCCAAGGCGATGTTCATCCGTGCGCGCGTGCTGCCGCCAGCCTCCAGCGGCAAAGTGTGGTCTCGTAACTTTTCTCGTCGCGGGTTGTTGCCGTCTGCGGTTTCCGAGCCGCCATCGCGCTGCGGCGGGCCGCGCGGGCTGAGGCCAGCCCTTCTCCCCCCCCGCTTGGGGCGAGCGCGGGGGATGGGTCCTTCTCTTGCCCCCGTTTCGTTTCTCGAACCCCAGGGCGGGAAGGGCAAGGCGAAGCAAAGGGGAAACAAACGTTGAAGAGGGAGGGGGCATGAAGTAGATTTCTTGTGATTGCGAAAATCACGACGGAAGTTTTTGCCATGTTCGGCTTCTGGGGGCCTTCAGCGGGCCCCAGGTTGCGTTCCAAAACGACTCGGGATCAAAGCCGGGTTTCAGGGAAACGGTCCGGACCTTCTGGAGTTCACGTTCAAACAAACACGACGTCGGGGGTCTGTGGAGCGTTGAGGTTGGGGGGCAGGGACTACGGGCCAGGGATAGGCCTAGCTCTGTAAACGCAGATCTGGGAAAAGAGGGGATCAGCACAGAGGGGCCCGCGAGCGAGCGATGGGCCAATTGCAAATTGGATGTGCGTGTCGATTGCCATTGTATTGCGAAGGCCTTGCGGCTGGTGCCGCCGCCCCTGAATTAGGGCGACGACGACGACGGTGACGACGACGTTCGCGAGCCCTCGTGGTGGCGAGGCCCTGTTGGCCTCGGGACCCCCCCCCGGGACCGCCCCCGGCGATCCCCCTGTGGGACCGCCCTCGGCGTTCCCCCTGTGGGCCGTCTCGGGGCCCCTTGGACTATCTTTGGGGTCTCTTGGGCCTTGGGACCCTCTTGGGCCGTCTTGGCGCTCTCGGGAAAAAATTTCGCGAACCGTCCACAGAGGCTTGCGAGCCGCCCGGAGAGTCATGTGACAAGGCTCCCCAGTGGGACGTCTGGGACCCTTGAAGAGCATTTAGAATATTCAACTACAGAGAACTCGAATGGACCTGGTGCCAATCAAATTCGTGCCTCGGGGCACGGTGGCGTATATTCTTGTGGAGGGCATATACCTAGGATGTGTGCCGTTCGGTGTATCGAGATCGTTCGAACCCGCAAGAGTCCAATGTTATCTCCAAGGTATGGGAGTTGCTGGTGAACGTGTTATCGCAAGTTGCGATTGGAAAAGTAATTGCGATAATTATCGACGGGCTTCCCATGCCAATTCACACTCTACGACCTTGTCGGCACTGGTATGTTTAGATACAAACGCCTCTGTAGTGGCCCGGCCAATTGCTCTGGAACTATTTTTGCAAAGTGTCAGAAATCATTTGATGTCGGGGACAGATTTTTTGTCCGACATGGCCTTAGCCTCGGCCGAAGCACCTTCGCGAACGTGTAGGTCTGCCTCAATCGCGCGCGTGCGCATACGTACCGGAACCGAAGCCGATCTTCCTGCTCATTTCTCTTCCCCCTACTCCCGATTTGCACTTGGATGCAGGCGCCGTTGGCAATTCGGTGCCTCGTGGTCGTGGACGTGGTCGTGGTCGTCGCCGTCGTCGCCGTCGCCGTCGTCGCCGTCGTCGCCGTCGTCGTCGTCGTCGTCGTCGTCGTCGTCGGAGTCGTCGTCGAGGTGGTGGTTGTCGCCCGCCGCCCTGCCGTGGAAGCCCCCCAGCCCCGACGCCCGGCCTGTTGCCGGCGCCCCGGGCGCAGCTGGCCGCGCCCGCGCCGCCGCTGGGGAGCCCGCCATGTACGGAAAGGCCCGCGGGCGGCAGCAGCAGCGAACGGCGCCAGCGGCGGCGACGCCGACGGCGACGGCGACGACGACGACGAAGACGACGACGACGAGGACGAGGACGACGACGCCGACGCCGACGAGGACGGCGGCGACGGCGATGACGACGGCGGCGGCACTTACGACTCAGAGGAGGGAGAGGTACCGATACGGCAGCCCTTCTTTCGTCAACACGGCTGGATTCTCTTCGAAATTGTAGTCAGAACGCACCCCAGGAGAGGTCCGTGGAGTAGCCGTATGAGTGCCTTCCTGCTTCCCCAACGACGGCGGCGGTGGCCACGATGACAGCAGCGGCGGCTGCAGCGACCACGGTGGCGGCGGTGGCGGCGACGACGGGGGCAAGGAAGATGGCGGCGATGCCGACGGCGGCAACGCCGACGATGACGCGGCAACGGCGACGGCGACGACACGGCGACGACGGGACATGTATGGAAGCGCCCTCGTTCGTCAACGGCAGCTTCGGGAAGAGGAGTCCGATATTGTACTCCTCCACCTCCTCCTTACCAAACGTCAGGGCGCGCCGAACAAAATTAGGGGCGCGTGTTTTTGTTCACGCTTTCGGCCTCTGGGGCCCAGGTATGGGGCCCCAGGGCCGTCAAGAGTCAGCCCGCTTGGATCGGACGGAAGGGGAGGGGATTGCGAAGGGGGGGTCAGGTCAGGTCATAAGCCGTGCATTTGTAAGACACGTTGGTAGCAGCACAAGGATCACTACTGGACCCATGCTTGGCGGAATGCCGAAAGCAGAAAGGCAGAGCGCCCCATGACTGTGAGGCAGAACCAGAGAGCACGGAAGGAAGAGAGGGAGGACAGAGGACAGAGGACGGAAGGAGGAGAGGGAATGGGGGCGGAGGGAGCTACGGAATCTGCTTCATGCAGTGGGTTTCGGCCCCGGTCATCCTCAGGGGCGCGAGGACAATCACACGTCGCGCGTCGCGGCCCAGGCCGCCGAGCTGGCCTTCTCCAGGGGGGCGGCGGCGAGGGGGCGCGTAGCCGCGCGCTGCGCATCGCGGAGCGCGATGCGCGAAGATTCAGAGGAGGAGAAGGTGCCCATACTGCTGTGGCCGGACTGAGGTATGAGATCGAGGTCGGTTCGGGGAGGGTGCCCTAATGTTTTTCGTGCTTGTTGGATGTTCTTGTGCATGCTGGGGGCGGGTACCCTCGAGTGTTCTTCACGTTGGCCAGCGGAGGGTCTCATGTTCATGAAGGATGTTGTGCTGCCCTGTGTCCAGCCGTACCCTTTCCTCGTTTTCACCTTTTGGGGCCTCCTGGGACGCCCTCGTCGCCACGGCTGGACTCGTCTCGAAACTAAGTTCGGGACGCACCCAGGGAGAGGTCCGGGGAGTAGCGGTATGAGTGCCTTTTGTCAAAAGAGGAAAAACGTTCAGGACCAGACAATTGGCGTTTACTAAACGGCCCTGGGCGTTTACTAAACAACCCTGCCCTGTTCGATTCTTTCTTTGGGCGCGTTTGATAAACGACTTCCCGTGTCGGGGTGGTTATTATCGGGGGGGGATTTGTTGACTTCTATTTTGGTTTCCCCAAGGTTGGGCGATCGAGCCCGCGCCCTGCCGAGCCGATCAACGAACGGCCCTTGCTCGGTTCTCCATGGGGGAGCTGCGGCTGCACTTTTTGCGGGCCTGCGCCCGCCGGGTCTGGTCCAGGATCGCTTTCAGGAGGGGGTGAATTGCTAGAGGGGGCCTTGTGCACCCGTGACATCGCCGGCTCCTCCTGCTGCTCCTCCTGCTGCTCCTCCTCCTCCTCCTCCCTTCCCCTCCCCCGCACCCACCTACTGATCCCGGGTCTGGGATCGGCCTTGCCAGGATCGGTGAGGCGGTGTGCTGACGTCCCCCGAGAGGGGGCATGGCGAGAAGGGCGGCATTTTTTTTTGGGGGGGGGGCCCGCGACGGGCCGCTTCGCCTCGTGAAAACGAATGGCCACCCCGAGGGGAAGGCAGCCAGTTGCGGAGGGGCGAATGGCTCATCCCCAGACCCGCGAGGCAGAAGCAGGGGTGGCCGTGGAGGCGGGCAGGCCCCAGAGAGGCCCCGGCCCTCAAAACGCCGTGCGCCCCGCGGCGGAGGGCTTTGCCTCCAGGCCGCCACGCCTCGCCGTGGTCCACCCTCCTCCTCCTCCTCCTCCTCCTCCTCCTCCTCCTCCTCCTCCTCCTCCTCCTCCTCCTCCTCCTCCTCCTCCCTCTCCTCCGCCTCCTCCTCCTCCTCCTCCTCCTCCTCCTCCTCCTCCCTCTCCTCCGCCTCCTCCTCCTCCTCCTTCTCCTCCTCGTCCTCCTCCTCCTCCTCCTCCTTCTCCTCCTCCTCCTCCTCTTCCTCATCTCCTCCTCCTCCTCCTCCTCCTCCTCCTCCTCCTCTTCCTCATCTCCTCCTTCTCCCTCCTCCTCCTCCTCCTCCTCCTCCTCCTCCTCCTCTTCCTCCTCCTCCTCATCCTCCATCCCTTGTCGCTCCCTCCTTCGTCACCCCCCCCCATCAGGGGAGGGAAATGCACCCATATACCGCTGCTCGTCCCGGAGAGCCTCCGTCGCCACGGCTGGATTCTGCTCGAGATGCTGGTCAGAACGCGCTCCGTGAGAGGTCTGCGGAATAGCGGCATCAGGATATTTTGGTTTCCACTCTCGGGGCCCACTTCGATCCGATCGTTCCGCTTCGACATCGATTCGGGCTGGCCCGCTCCGGTCCGATTCCGGCGTTCCGACGATCCGATGCCACCCGATGCCCGCACGGCGCTGCTGTGCGTGCTGGCTCGGCCGGTCCGACTTCGACTCCGTGCCGATGCGGCCCGATTTGACGCACTTTCCACTTCGACCCTCAAGGAGCCGTACACATGGATTGAGGCACGTGGATTCGCGGCGGGCCCCGTTCCTTCACGTAATCGACGCGATCCATTGCCAAATTGGGCGGCACCAGACCCACATTTCGGGGTATCTTCCCGATCCGTGGATCTGGCGTCCACGCGCCTCCACGCGCCAAATCCACAGATCACTAACCCACATTAGCGTGCGCCAGAACCCGATTTCTGAGTCGATGCTCGCGGATCCTGCCGTAGCCATCGGCTCAAGGGATTGCGTCCTCCGAGTGCCGCCAGTACCCGTTCGTGGTTTCGGGCGTGATAGGCCATGCCCGACAAGTCGGACAACCCCATGAGGCAGATCAAGGTGGAGAAGCTGACCCTGAACATCCCGAAGAGGGAAAAGCTGCATACACATCAACTCTCGGAGCTCCTCGCGGATTTCCTGGATCTGCGCCGGGCCCTCTGGCGGCGCCTCCGGCGCCGCCCCTGGCGCGCCCGGGAGGTGGCTCGGCGTAAATCCAAGACATTTGCAGAGACCTCCAACAGTTTATGCTTATGCTATTTTTCCCTCCTCGAGCATCAGCGTCGGGGAGAGCGGTGACAGGCTCACGCGCGCGGCCAAGGTCCTGGAGCAGCTGACGGAGCAGCAGCCCGTTTTTTCCAAGTGCCGCATGACCATCCGGTCCTTCGGCGTGAGGCGCAACGAGAAGATCGCATGCCACGTGACCGTTCGGGGTGAGAAGGCGGAGGAGTCGGGGGAGAGAAGCATACCGATACCGCTACTCCCCTTCCCCCTCCCCCTTTCCCGATTTCGTCGCTGCAGCTGGATTCTTTCCAAGATCCTGGTCCGAACATACCCAGGTTAGGACGCAACTCTTGCGAGGTTGAACTCAGCATCGGCGATGGTATATACGCAATCGAAAAGCGTCATGATCCGACATAGTCACATCCAAATCCGTGTAATCCAGCTTACTTGGGTTTTATCCTGGGTTTAACCTGGCTTAATGACCCCTAGTCGGGCGTAATAGCCTCTCATCGCTCTAACGAAGAGGTGTCGGCATCTTTTTGCCCCCCGAGGAGATCCTGGAGAAGGGCCTCAAGGTCAAGGAGTACGAGCTGGTTAAGAGGAACTTCGCGAAGAACGGCAGCTTCGGCTTCGGCATCACGGAGCACATCTCGAATGAGGAAGTACTGCCTGAACAGAATTGTTCGTAGATCCGCGCGGATTTCTTGGATTCGCGCTGGACCCATCTGGCGGCGCCTCTGGCGCCGCCGCTGTCTCGCTCCGCGCGCAAGGAAGGGGGGCCCAGCGCCGATCCAAGAAATCCGCGAGGATCTCCGAAAGTTTATGTCAATGCAGTTGTTCCTTCTTCTAACGTCGACCTGGGCATCAAGTACGACCCGAGCACGGGCATCTACGGCATGGACTTCTACGTGCACCTCTCGCGCCCTGGCAACCGGGTGATGTTCAGGAAGCTAAAGCGCGGCAAGGTCGGTTTCGCGCACCGACTGAAGAAGGACGACGGGATGAAGTGGTTCCAGACCAAGTTCGACGGCATCATCCTCAACAAGTGAGCGCCGGCGTCGCCAGCGAGCAGGCTTCGAGGCCTCTGCGGAGCGCGTGTGCTGGAGGAGACACGTCGTTCTTTACCCTTCCCCGAGGCCCCTCGGGAGAGCAGCGGCACCCCCGCTGGAACAAGAGACTGTCCTCTCAGCAGCCTCTTGTTGGTGGCAGTGCTTGCCAGGATGCTAGAAGCGCACATGCCCTGGAGTACCACGTCTTCTCGGTGCCACCCCCATCGGGGTGCAGGGCTTCTCGGGGACGTCCCGGGGCCGTTCGACAAGATCTTGGGGCCGTCTGGGCGGCCCTGGGACGCCCCAGAGGGCTCCAGGAACCTCCAAGAGGTCCAAGTGCCTGCCCAAGTGCCCCAACAAGGCTGCCCGAGGATTTATCAGAAATTCCAAGAGTGTTCAATAGGCTTCAATTCTTCGAGCCTGTTGAACCCTCTTGGAATCTCTCAGAGGGCTCATCAGAAACCCAAGCTCACCAACATCAGTCGAAGACCACGTCAAACCGTATTTTTCCGTGGGATTCCCAACTGTTCTGTCGAAGGTGTAAAGAGGCCCCAGAGGAGTCGAAGAGGGTGCAAACGTGGCTCATGACTGCTCTGTGAGCAGAGGGCCCCTCGACGGCTCCAGCCGAGATGTCCCAAGAGGGCTCCCAGATGACCCAAGTGAGGCCCAGGATGGCCCAAGGTGGTTCCGAGAAGGCCACAAGAGGCTGCTGGAGGTTTCTGAGAGGACTCAAATGCGGCTCCACAGGGTCCCACTGCAGCCCCAATATTGCCGAATTACAGTCCGACTGCGGAGGCGGAGGAGGAGGAGGAGGAGGAGGAGGAGGAGGAGGAGGAGGAGGAGGGGGACCAGAGTAATCCCAGGATGCGTCAGCGATGCTGCAGTAAAGCATCATCTCCCAGGAGGGACAAACCACACAGACAGAATTAATCGTTGATTCCCAGAACATATGAGAGAACATGCGAAGTGTGGGGGGGGGGGAAGACGACAACCCAGAAGACATGGAAACAGATTGGGAATCCTGGGATTCGTGCGTAGTTGTCTGTGTATCCCTGGGTCCCTTCAAACATCTCGTCCCGAGGCCCCTCCCCGTGAGCTCCTGCAGTTGTGCGCCACTCTGGGACGTGCCATTCCTGCACGGAAGCTCCCGGCGGGCCTGCCATGCAGGTCATGCTCCGTTTTGTCGAGGACCCCCAAGAGGGCCCCAAGAGGAACCCCAAGAGGGCCCCAAGAGGACCCCCCCAAGAGGACCCCCAAAAGGGCCCCAAGAGACCCTCTCCATGCTTCCAATTTTCAGGAGGGGAACGAAACAGACAGACACAATAGGAAGTGGGGGGGAAGACGAAATGTGGGAAACTATGGGGGATATCCTGTTATTTGTGTCTGTTGATTTGTGTGTCCCAGGGCTCCTTTACATGCTCCGTTTTGTCAAGGACCCCCTCTCCATCGTTCTAGTTCGCAATATGGCGCGCAGGGGTTGAGGATGGTAAAGCTCAGGGAAGTGTGCAGCGATGGCCTCGTTTCGGAACAGATCTGCCCTCCATTCGTGTACCTTGTAAGCAGTCTCAGAATTCTGGAGTGATCTTGAAAAGCATCCGAGCAACTGCTACACATGTGGAATTTCTGGTCATCGTCTTAGAGGAAGTCTCAGGCGAACGCCGTATTGTGAAAACGAACCGCTGTGAGTTTTTAGGACGACTGGTGCGTGGCGCTAGCGCGAGAGGCACATTTTTAAGACCACTGGGCCTTCATTATTGTAAACGTTGCATTCTTTCAGATCGAATGTGCGCGGCGTGAAGGCGAGGGCCCCGTTTTGAAAATCACCAGCCCTCCATCCTTGGAACGGTTGGGGTTGTGTCAGTTTCGAGACTGTGAATATGTTGCCGCGCCGGTTGTTCCGACTCGCGGCCTTACGTCTTGGGGAGGGCGCCGCGGCCACTAGGGCAAATGCCGCCCCGGGCGCGGTGGGCTTGCAGTGCGCTTGCCGTGGTGTCTGCGTCGTCCATTTGGGGCGCGGGGCGCAGGGTTTGCTGTGGGCTTGCTGTGGTGTCTGCTACGTCCTCCCAGGCGTTTTCAGAAGAAACGGCGTGGCGACATATGAAGTAAGGAAACGGTAAGCGAAACGCCCGGCCCGGCCTACGGACACGTTTGGTGGTGCAACAGAGGGAGATTCATTCACAAGGAGTAGGGGTGGAGAAGGTGGGGCATGCATCTCATAAGGTGGGAGCTGAAGCTAGCAATCGTGACATGCGTGCGTGGTTTGCGTGGGCGCTTGGTGTGTCTTGTGTGGACGGCTCGCGCAGCGAGTGTGGTGATTGCGCTGCGCCTGGATTGCTTGCTCTGGTGCGCCCGAGGTGCCCTGAGGCCTGGTGTGCGTATGGCGGACCCCGCCGCATGAGGTGAGGCCCTTGACCACAGTCCGTAAATGCCCCAGTCAGTCCCAACCGCAACCTGCGACACGAATTCCTGGGCTTAGAACCTAGTTACGCGCGCACGACCCGCGTGGTTACAGGCTTCTCGACGTGATGACATGTATACTTCTACGATCGGGAACTTTGGCTTAGCGTGTCGCTTCGCCGGTTCTGGCCCACCAGGCTGCGGCGCGACACATTATCCACACCCGAGTCCGCAGGCGTCAACGTCCCGAACATTTCCGATCCTTTCGACCCGCGGGGCGGGGCGACACACATTGTCCGCTCGCCATGGCGTGCCGCCGGGGCCGCTGCCGCGACACGCGAAGCAGCAGTTCCCGACCGCATGCGTAAGCTGATGGGCCTGTTTTCCACCACCACCACAAGTCGGAGGGGGGAAGGAGGTGGTGGAGGAGGAGGAGGAGGACGAGGAGGAGGACCCCGTACCCCTCCAACTTTTGGTGGTGGTGGTGGTGGTGGTTGAAAAGAGGCCCATCATAAGCATCTGAGTATGATGCGGTCCTCGTAGGAAGCCGCCCGCTGCTAGGGCACCCTGGCGCCGTCTCGGGGCCTCCTTTGGGGGCCTTCTCCAGCGATGTCCTGGCAGTCCTGCGCCCGCCTCGCGCCGCCCGCCTGGAGCCGCTCCAGAGGGCGCTCCTGCAGCCCGTCTTGAGCGCACCTTGGGGCCCCGCGTGGCACGTCTTGAGGCTCTCCTGGGACGTCCCGGGCCGTCAGGGGACCCTCCCGTGCCTCTGGGGGCCCTCGGGGGGCCCGCTTGGTCTCCCACACTGGCCTCCCGGAGCCGTCGTCGGCCGGAAGGCGGGGAGACCGGGTTGTGCCCAACCCTCTTTTTTGGAGGGGTGGGCTTTCTGGACGTCCTTCAGACGCCCCCCTGGGCCGTCTTGGCGCTCTCTGGAGCCGTCTTGGGCCGCCTGGGGGCCACCTTGGGTCGTCTTGGGGTCCTCTTGGGGCCCTCTGGGGCTCTCCGGGGCGGCAGGCTCCGGGCCAGGCCGGTCCCGGTCCCCGACTCGCGTTGTGTTTTTTTCGTTGTGTGCGCAGTGGGGGTCGATTATATCGAAGACGCTTACGGCGAGTCACCGCCGCCCCCTGCCTCTTTAGGGTCCGCTTATCAGGTGGCCAAACGTTTGGGCAAAGTTTGGCCACGCTATTGGACCATGCGTTGCCCCAGCCGTTGTGGAATCCAGAGGAGGAGGAGGATGAGAGGGAGGAAGAGGGAGGATGAGGAGAAGAATGGGGAGACCGTTTGAGAGCTTCTTGGGTCATTATTTGGGCCTCCCAGGAGCTTCCTGAGAGCCTCTTGGAGGACTTTTGAGGGCTTCCTTGGGCCTCTTCGGTGCCTTTGGGGGCTTCTTGGGGACCCCCTTTGGCGTCTTACGGTTTTCCTGGCCCGTCTGACGTCTTTGGGCGCTTCAGGGTCGTTTTGATGGTCATCTTGGGCGTCTTGGAGGCCTCTTGGGCTGTCAGAAAGTCCCTTGGGGGCCGTCTTGGGAGCCTCTTGGGCCTCCTGGGGCCATCTTGGAGACCTCTTGAGTTTTGGGCCTCTTTGGCCGTTTTGGGTCGTCGGTAGGCCGTCTTGATGCGAATGCCCAAACCTTTCAAACATCTTGGAACATATATATATATATATATATACATATATATAATGTTGGTCTCTTAGGGCCTTCGTGGAGGACCTCTTGGAGGCCCATTGGGCCGTCTTAGGGGCCTCCTTGGGCGCCACCTTGGGCCTATCTTGGGCTCTCTCGGGGCCCGTCTTGAAGGCATCTTGGAGGCTATCTTGGGCCATCTTGGCCGTCTTGGAGGCGATTGAGCGAACGGAGTTGGGTTTTTCGGCGGCTGTGTGCAGCTCTCTGGGTGGCTGGCGGGTTGGACCGAGACCCCAGAGCAGTTTTTTAGAAAAGAGCCGGAAACTTGCCAGACATGTGGCACGCCGTGCACCCCTGCGGCAAGACCACAGGAGGCAGCGAATCGATTGGACTTCGGCCCATCCCGCCGTCGTGCCCGGGTTATGGGTCTCAGGCCTCTTGGATGTTCGTTGGGATCTCGTCGAGGCCTCCCGTGGGCCTCCTGGAGGCAGTTTTGAAGCCCCAGGGGATTTTTGAAGCCTCTGGGAGCTTCTTTTGGGCCTCGTAGGGGCCTCGTGGGGGCCTCTTGGAGCGCTCCTTGGTGCCTCTTGGCGCGGAAGGCTTGTATTTTCCGTTTGTGCTCCCCCTCTTGGGCCCCACTTGGGGCCGTTTTGGGGCAGTCTTGGGCCGTTTTGGGCGCCTACTGGGCTGTCTCGGGGCCTTCTTGGGGCCGTCTTGGGCCGTTTGGGGGACCTCTGGGGACGTCTTGGAGCGGTACTGGGGGCGTCTTGAGACGTCCTGGAGCGTCGGAAGCTCGAACAGTGGAGGACCCCAAACACGATGAAAAACCTAAGGAACATTAATGATTTTGGCTTCTCGGGGCTCTTAGGAAGGCTCTTGGATCGTCTCGAAGGCTTCTTGGGCCGTCTTGAGGTCATCTTGAGCTTCCTGGCGCGATTGTGCGGCGATTCGGGGCACCCTTGGACCGTCTGGGCGGCCTCTTGGGGCCCTCTTGGCTGGGCTTGGGGCCCTGGTGGGCCCGAAGAAGTCATGCGACACGATTCGACGCGAGCCAGGAGGCACTTGCCAAGCACCAAGAGATTTGGCAATTTGGGGTCACCAGGCCCCTGAAAGACTCTTCAGGATTGAGGACTGAGGCTTAAGGAATTAGACCATAGGACCTGAGGACACTCCAACTCGTGCCTCAAGGGCGCGGTGTCGGATTCCCATGCCTACTGATCAGCGGAAAAGCAGTTGCCCTTGCAGCACGCGCTCGTAGACTGATTTGTCGCCCCTGCCCCCCGAAGCCCACGACCTACCTCTCACGTTTGACCCTTCGGAAACGTGGGGGAATTTGGGTAGCCCCTGCCCCCCGATGCCCCCGATCTACCTCTCACGCTTGACCCTTCGGAAACGTGGGGGAATTTGGGTGGGGACACCCCCTGGGTGGGGGGGGGTCAACCTCGCCGCGTCGGCGCACCGCACCAAGGGTTGGGAGGACGCTCTCGGCGGGAGGCGGCGATCCGCGACGGGAGGTCGACTTGGGGGCTGTCGGCGGGGCGCCGCCCTCCAGGCACTCGCGTTGCGACGCGCAGGGTGCCCAGGACGGCATCCTTGGTCGTTCATCGGCGGGCCCCGGGGCCAGCTGTTTGTTGTCCGAGCTTCCTGGTTCTTCCAGGGCCTCCTCCTCCTCTTCCTCCTCCTCCTCCTCCATTCCTATTCCTTATAGGTATCTCCTCCCTGTCGAACCCCGAGGCCAGTTTTTAGGGCGGGCCGGGCGTTTCACCTGAGACTTCCTCACCATTATGACTCTGAAGCGTAAAAAGTGACAATCGTTTCACAGATGGAGGGCGGGCCGTATTCAAAATGTGGCTCTCGCCTTAGCACCGCGCGCAGTCGCTCTAACACTTTGCAAGAGCTTCACGGGTTGAGGTCGGGCCGTTTTCAAAATGTGGCTCTCGCCTTAGCGCCGCACACATTTGTTAAAACATTTTGCAAGAGTTTCACGGATTGAGGGCGGGCCGTTTTCAAAATGTCGCTCTCGCCTTGGTGCCGCGCACATTCGTTTTTAAACATTGCAAGAGTTTGACGGATTGAGGACGGTTCCTTTTAAATTGGCTCTCGCCATAGCGCCGCGCACATTCGTTAAACAAATGCAAGAGTTTCACGGATTGAGGGCGGGTCGTTTTCAAAATGTGGTTCTCGCTTTAGCGCCGCGTGCAGCGAGTTTCACGGATTGAGGGCGGGTCGTTTTCAAAGTGTCGCTCTCGCCGTAGCGCCGCGCACATTTTTTGTTAATGTAATAGTTTCACGGTTTGTAGTGATCAACGTACCAGGCATGCATAGTATTTCGGCAGGATGGGGGATTACGCGGGTGCAACAGTTATGTTGATTCGCGGTGGTGATGTCCCCAAAAAACGGCGCCCTGGCGCGATTCCAGATCGTCAAGGCGCAGCAGTTAGGCTGATACGTCGCGTTGAAGTCCCGAGAACAATGTTTTGGCATGCTTCAGGATCTTCAAACGGTTGTCTTCCAACGGGGCAGTTCCTTCAATGGGAATGAACCGTTGTGGGGGCCTGTGAAGAGGGAGCTTGGAGGGAGGGTTAATCCCAACATCGTTGATGACTCTTGGTTTTGCACTGGTCCTGCTCGTCCTCCCCCTCCTCCTCCTCCTCCTCCTCCTCCTCCTCCTCCTCCTCCTCCTGCTCTGGGTGACGGCGGCGTCGAGGAGGGCGGCCTCCTCGCCGAGGACGGCGGCGGCGGCCAGCGATGCCCCCCCTCCCCACCCCCCCAAGATCAGGCGGGCATGCTCGGCAAGGATGGCGGCAAGGAGACGCGCTCCTCCCCTTCGGCCGCCGAGGAGGGCAGGTCGAGGAGGAGGACCCACGATCTGGGATCGAGGCTCCAGGACCCCGTCGTGGGGGTCCGTCGTGGGGGTCCGTCGTGGGGTCCGTCGTGGGGGCCGTCGTTGGGGCCGCCTCGGGGGGCCGTCGTGGGGTCGTCGTGGTGGTGGGTCGTGGGAGCCGTCGACTTGGGCGAGGGGCCGTCGTGGTGGTGGGTCGCGGTAGCCGTCGGCGGGTTGAGTGCGGGGTCTTGGGGCTGTCTTGGAGGGCGGGTGGGGGGTCGTGGGGCAGGGGGCTGTAGGGCCTAACTGTAGGGTATGGGCAGTCCAGCCGTCCGTGAGGGTAGCGCTGTCCGCGTAGTCGAGGTAGTGCTGGTAGGGGGTCGGGCGTGCGGAGTGCGTCGGGCGAGGCGTACGGTAAGGAGGGGGATGGGGCGTCGGTCCCCTCCTCCTCTTCTTCCTCCTCCTCCTCCTCTTCTTCCTCCTGCTCCTCCTCCTCTTCCTCCTCCGTCTCCTCCTCGACCCTGTGCCGTGCTCCGCCCGAGATGTTCCCGTGTCGACGCGGGGATGGGGTTCCTTCGAGGTCTTTTGACAGCGATGTGAGCAGAATGCCTCACACGCGCCCTGCGGTCACATTCATGATTCAGATCTTGAGATTCGGCCACATGCAGAGTAGTCAGCCAGCCAACCAGCCAGCCAGCCAGCCAGCCTCCTCCTCCTCATCATCCACCTCCTTATCCTCCTCCTCCTCCTCCTCCTCCTCCTCCTCATCCTCCTCCTCCTCCTCCTCTGCCTCATTTTTTTGTTACTCCTCCTCCTCCTCCTCTCCCCCCTTCCTCCTCCTCCTCCTCCTGCTGTTCTTCCTTGCAGTCCTCCATGATCTTTCCACCTCCGACGACCTCAGAGGACTCGGAAAGCCGGCGGAAAATCGCCCAGCATTGTTGCCGAAAGCCCGGAGGGGTCCGTGACAGAGCCCCGAGCGCGGTGGTCAATCCCCACGTCCTCCTCCGTCTGCTTTGTCTCCTCCGCTTATCTGTCTTCCTCCCGCGGATCCACGCGACGCAAGGAATGATCAAGGCAATTCGACCACAATAGTGACGTCCAGATGTTAGCCATTGTCTGATTTTGTATGCCGTTTCCTGGCCCTAGGACAGTCAAACAACGATTCAGGACGGAAAGTTGGCCCCGCCGAGATCCACGGAGAACCGTGCCACGAAGAAGTGCGACGTCGGAGCAGCGGGTTTCCCTCCCGTCGTCGTCTCTCCGCCTTCTCCGTCTCCTTCCTCCTCTGTCGCGCTCGCCTCCTCACTCGAGCTTCTCCTCCTCTTCCTCCTCTTCCTCCTCCTCCTCCTCTTCCTCCTCCTCCTCCTCCTCCTCCTCACCACCACCACCACCACCACCACCACCACCACCACCACCACCATTATACTGCGAAGAAGTCGCGCCAACATGACCTTCTGGATGGAGCTGCTGCTGACCCTCGAGATGGTCCTCCTCTGGTCCTGCCAGTCGTGCCGCCCTTCCCCTTCAACAAGGCGGCCCCTGTCTTCCTCCCCGCTAACTCGGGCGTGATTAGCAATGACGTGTCGACGGGCATCCTGCTGCAAGAACTTGGCGGAGTGCATGATAGTGGCGTTCAGCTTCAGGTTCCTGCGGCTGTTGAGTAGCATGGTGAAGGACACGCTGCTCATTGTTCTCTTCCTGGCGCTGGCGTCCCTCTTTCTCGTGAGGCTCGGGTGCCATGCGGAGCGGTTCGAGGTCCTGCTGATGTTGATGGCGCTGGTCGTCTTCGCAGCGCTCTGGCGGAGTTCGAGGCGGTGTTGCTTCGTGTGGTACCTGGTGCAGTCGATCGTAAAGGAATGCACCCTGGTCTTCGGCCCGTTGGTGTCGGGGAGCCTCGGCGTGCTGGATGTCTGGAGGTGCCGCGTCCTGTTCGTCGTGAGATCCGCTTTTGGTCGGGCGATTCGTCGTCTTTCTTCTGGCCCTACGATGAGCAAGCTCTTGGTGATGATCGGCGGCGCACGGGATTCCGCTCAGTCTGTTCATTAACAGCTACTGTGTGATCACGGAGGGTGAGTTCATTGGCTGCGTTGGCCGTATATGTGGTGCTACGGAGTCGGAGGTAGAGCTGCAGCTGTATTACGACGAGGTCCGCAGGACGTTCGTGAGTGCCTCAATCCTGCTGTTGATGGTCCTCGGTCCTGAGATTGTCACCAGTACGTGGTGTTCATCGTGGGTGGCCGGTTCTGCTTTTTGGGTGCGGCTCGCTTCTTCGTCTTCTTCGTGTACTCCCTGGGGTAGATATTCCGCCTGTGGGCCATAGAGGTGCTTGCGCGGGTGTTCGCGTCCGTCCTAATAATCGGGTTTGCGGTGAGCCTTGTCGTCCCCACAGGGGCTCCCCGTCGGCCGTCGGTCGTCGGATCGGCGTCGCCAGTTGCGCGGTGGGAAAATCCCCACCACCACCATTATTATTATCATCATCATCATCATCATCATCATCATCATCATCACCATCATCATCATCACCATCATCAGCATCAGCATCAGCATCAGCATCATCATTATCATCATCATCAGCATACTCATACTCATGATGATCATCATCATCATCATCATCATCATCATCGCCACCACCATCATCATCGGCATCATCATCGTCAAAGTCATCGTCATCGTCGTCATCACCACCATCACAATCACCATCAGCACCGTTCTCATCATCGTCATCGTCATCAACATCGTCATCACCATCGCCATCATCAGCGCTGCCATCAGAATCACCATCATCATCGTCACCATCATTACCAACATCGTCGGTATCATCGCACCGTCATCGTCCTCTCATCAGCATCATCACCACCAGCACCACCATTTGCATCATCCCTATCATCAGTATCGTCACCATCCGCATCAGCATCGGCATTGGCATCAACATCGCCATTATCGTCATCATCAGCATCATCACCATCACCATCACCATCAGCATCATCATCATCATCATCATCATCATCATCATCATCCGCATCAATCGTAGGCGTTTTGTCCAACATTGCGCGAGCAGGGCAGGTGTCTGGACCTGTGTGGCTGGTCATGGCCGTCGCGCCACTTCTTGTGTCAGCTTCCAGCGATGCCTTTGCGGACGCGGCCCTTTCATGTTCCTAACCTGGCCCCAATCGCCCAGTTGGGAGCCTTGCTTGCGCGGGCTCGACCAATGGCGGGGCGTGGCGGCGGCGCTCGAGGTGCCGCGCGCGGTGGCGGCGGCAGGGGCAGCAAGGGAGGCAGAACAGGCGGCGGTCCGACAGGCGGCAGCGGCGGCGCACGCAACCAGCCCAACACCTGGGATTGCCCACGATGCGGAGCCAAGAAGAATCGGGACACCAGGCACGTTTGTCGCAGCTGCAGATATGATCGGTGGGAACAAGGATCTGGGGGCTCGTGGTTGAGTGGTACGTCGCGACTGGGCGCCAAGGAACCCACGAGCTCAACAGGTCGCGGCGGAAGGCCAAGAAACTCGAAGCCAGAGCGCACGCGTCAGGCAGCGACGCCGGAGCAGTTCGAGTAGCCGACGCCCAGTCGCAGGGCAAATATGAGCGCGCGCGTCGTCTTGGCCAGCTACGGGGCGATATCAAGAAACCCGTGGGAGATCGTGCAAAGTGCGGAAAAGGTTATTGCTGCCGGGCGCCGCGAGGCAGAACAACTCGACTTGGGGCTCGCTGAGGAGAAGCCCGCGCCCGTTTTGCTCAGCGAGCTGGAGCGCAAGCGCAGCGGCCAGAAGGGCACGGCGGAGGCGCTTGGGCGGCATGCCAGCGTCATCACGCAGGAGATGGGCGCGCTCCAGTTCAAGAGTGTCGAGCTCGAGGGCAAGCGCGAGCAGTGCAAGACCGCCAAGAAGAAGGTCCAGGCCCTCAGTGACAATCTCCTGGTCAAGCACCAACGAAACCGTGCTAGGGATGCTCGGGGTGGATGTATCGGCGCTGGGGCAGTGACAGCGGCGGCAGCCCCAGCGGCGGCAAGCGACCCCCGCGAGACCCTCGCCGAGGGTCAGCGCTCCTTCACCTTCCTCTCCGCCCTCGACCAGACCTCAGGCATGTCCAACCCAGAGTTTTCAATGCAGTGGGGGGCGCGCGATCGCGAACTTCGACGTCTGGTGCATGGAGTCGCCGCCGCTGGCTCAGCGGCGGAGCGAGGCGAAGCCGGCGGTGGCGAGCGGTCGCTGCACCTCGAGGGCCCCGATCTGGGCGCCCTCGTCAACGACATTATGGAGGAGAGGTGCGACGTGGAGGAGGAAGAGGTTATGTGGCCAACTTGGGGATTTGTAGAATGTCTCCGAATTGATTTTTGTTGAAGATAGCGGCACTTAGCGGCGCGAGCGCTTGCGGCCCCGATGGGGCCGGCGGTCTCGCTCGCGCGCCCGCGGTTTCGCGGAGGTCGGCGACCCCGGGCCCTGATTCCCCAATCAGTGCTCGCACTGAAGGGGCCCTAGCGGAAGTCGAACGATTAGGCGAAAGTTTTCGGCCGATTTTGGTAGCAGGCTGGGTTCCAAGGTTCCGGGTTCCGAGTTCCCGGGTTCCTGTTTATTGGTTCCGGGCAGATTTCGGTGGGCGGCGGGGCCCCCGAATTCCCGAGTTCCTGGTCGGTCTTTTGATCGATCGACTTCACTACCGATCTCATTGCCCACCTCTCTATCGATCTCACCATCGATCGATCTCATAGTCGATTTCATTATCGACCTCGCAAGCGAATTCACTATACATCGCCCGAGTTCTCGCAATCGATTTCGCGATCGATCTCATCGAGTCGACTTCTTTATCGGTCTCGGGATCGACTTTGCAATCGCCCTCACTATCGATTCCACTGTCGATCTCACAATCGATCTCTCAATCGATCTCAAGATCCACAGTCTCATTTTCAAGCCGTCCACGGATCGAGGTTGTTCTCTGGTGTAATTGACCTGCCTGTGGCCCAGCTTCGCGGCCACCGTGCGCCTCCAAATGGTCATTCTCGGAACCACGAACGGCCATTCCATTCTGCTAGATGGTCATTTTCGGAGCCGCCAGCGGCCGCTAAGTGCCACTACATGGAAGATCTCGGGCTACTAAGTGTTGCTATATGGCATTTAGTTCTCGGGGCCACTCGCGGCCACTCAGCGCGACTAAATGGCAATTCTCGGAGCCACTAGCGGCCGCTGAGTGCCACTGAATGCTTCTTCTCGGAGACAGCAGGGGCCGCTCGGCGCCGCTAAATGGCAATCTTCGGGGCCGCCAAAGGCAACTGAGTGCCGCTGAACGACTGCTACAGGCCGATAGCGGCCACTAGGTGCCACGACAGGACAATTCTCGGCGGTCGCGATGGTCGGCCCGAAGTTCCCCGGAGAGCCCGCGGACAGGAAGCAGCGGTTGCTGGCGCGGACGGCGGCGCCGCGCGGCCCAACGATTCAGCCGCCAAGGCCGCGGCGTGGCCAGACTCCCACAGGGGCTCCGCGCTGCGGGGCTCGTGCACATGGGGGGGGGGCGTGGGCGGCGAGCCTGGCGTCGCCGTCGCCGGCCTCGACGGCGGCGGCCGGGGCTCGCGCGCCGCGCTCGAGCAGAGCGACCCTCAGCTGGAGATGGTGTCTCAGCTTCATCTCGGGGGCGCCATTCGCTTCCAGTTGTGCCGCCTCGGCAGCTGCCGCGCGATCGAGAAGGAGCAGTGGTGGCGCCGGGTTGGACGGCGCGCAGTCCTCGCCCCAGGCGTCGCTGCTGCCGGGGCGCGGGGGCGCGGAGCGCCCGGCGGCGGCGCGGGCGTCGCAGTCCGCTCCTTCCTCGGCATGTGCGGCCCCAGGGAAAGAGTCGCCAAGGGGAGCTGCCGCGCGGGCGACGGTGGGGCCGCGGTCGCGCGCGTCAATGGCGCGGTACCTGGTGGCTGCCTGCTCGGCTCCGTGTATTTCTGCGGCGACGACGTGGGCGACAACGGCAAGTCGGTCATTCGGGGCGCTTGTGCGCTACTCGCCCGCGCTGGGGGGCCCTGGGCAGGGCGGGCGATTGGAGCGTCGAGCCCGACGGGCTCCACGAGCATGCGGCGCGCTGGCTTGGCAAGGCGCGGGGCTTCGTCGTCATTCGGGGGGGGGGGGGGGCGCGCTTTCCAGATCTTTCTAGAGAAGGAGGCCTCCGAGCGGGATTGGTTTTATTGTCAGCGCGGAAACTAATTGAGCCACGGGGTGCCAGCGCCCCGACGACCTCGCCGACGTGTCCCAGGACTTCTGCGCGGCCGTGGAGACGAGCTCGTCTGGGCGTGCCAGGTCGACCCTGACGACGAGGCCTTCCGCAGGGGCTGCGGGCCCCCCCCGAGCTTCAGATTCGGGGCCCAGGCGCGCGCTCGACCCATCAAGGGGCCCGCGGCGGGCTACAATTGCAAGGAGTTGATGCGCCTGAGCGATTACTTCTCGCAGGTTCGCCTCGAGCTGGCGCCGTCTGTTGCTTCGGTCGAGGGGGCGGCCCAGAGCTCCCTGCTCGACTGGGGCCCTGCGCGGCGCGAGTCCGGGCGCGTGGAAGCACGGGCCCAAGCGGGTCATGGGGTGCCGGGCGCTGAGTTGGGCTTCGTGCCCGAGCAGCCCTCAACCGGCGCGAGGACACGGGCAATGATGGGCCTCTGCGCCCTGGACATCTTCCGCATGCTGGGCCTGCCCATCCACGTCGCCGCGGGCCTTGCGCGGGAATTCGAGGGTCGCGCGCAGGGCGCGATCGATGCTCGCTCGTCAGCGTGGCGTCGCAGGTCAGGCGGCAGACAGGACATGGTGCGCATCTTCTCCCAGCTGCCTCTCTCCTCGACCGCGTCAGCTGGGATGGGGGGGCCCGCGAGGCCATCGGCTACTATCGCCAGTCCAGGCGATGGTGGGGGCGGGGCGCGGGGGCTGCGACGGGCCGCTCCCAATGGCGCCCCAGACGTCGCGGGAGGCCACCGCCAACGGCCTCCGTCTGCGCGCGAACCGCGAGAGCGGCGTGGTCGGGGGCGACCGGTTCACCGCGACGCTCATGCAGCCTCCCCCCCCAGCGCTCTGCGTCGCACGCGGTGCCCGCCGATGCGGGCGAGGGGGGATGGAGTGCCGCGGGCGTGGGCGCGGCGGGTGCGAGGGGGGCCCTGCGCCGTCTCGGGCGAGATTGGCCCCCCCCTCCGCGCGCGCGCCACCGGCGCAGCGCGGGGCCGCGATGAGCGGTTGCACGTCTGCGCGCGCCACGCGCGCGCGCGCGCCCCGGGCAGCGCGAGGGCGACTGGGTGGGCGCCGAAGCCTAATGTAGCGCTCAGGGCGACCCGAGCGACTCAGGCGCAGCAGCTGGCGGCCCAGCAGATGGTGGAGCTGGCGGAGAGCCCCTGGCGTCCGCGGGCGGCGGCGCAGCAGTGGGCGCTGCCCATCAGCCGAGGCCCTTCGGCGAGCGAGCAGCCGCGCGCTGGGCCAAGGCGGCGGGACTTTGCGAGGGCGGCTGGACGGCCGCGGAGGCGACGCGCGCCTCGTATCAGCAGCTCTCGACCGATCTGGCGGTGATCGACCCCGACCGCTGGGCCGAGGCCGGCGAGACGCACTGCGGCTTCATTCGGTCGGTCAAGGGCTGCGTGCGCCACCGCGGGGGGGGCTCGCCAAACAGCGGCAGCGACGGCGGTGGCGCCGGCGTCGGCAGCGCCGGCCAGGGCTTCAAGCGCGGAGGGCGACTGCGCCATAAGGCTCCAGGCCCCCGAGCTTGGAAGGGGCAACCCTTAAGCGCCCGCTGGGCCGCGTCGGTGGCCCTGGCGGCCGCGCGCCCAGAGCCCCTGCCTTTGGGCGAATGGGCAGTCGAAGCGATAACTGATGCGGAGGCGGAGGGCGCGGCCTTTGCTGCCGCGCGGGGTCAGGGCTTCGAGGGGCGGATCAAGCATTCAATTGAAGCGGGCGGCGGCGGGCTGCGCGCCTATCGACGCGGCCCGCGCGCCTATCGACGCGGCCCTCGTGGCTGGGCCCCCAGCGAGGGATCTGGGCCACTGCGCGCGGCCGAGAGCGCGCGAGAGTGCTCGCCGCTCTGAGGGCCTCTCAAGTGTGGCGAGCGCGCGCGGAAGGGGGCCGCCGCCGCCCGCTCGGAGGCCTTGCCCAGGGGTCGGCCGAGAGGGCGCGGAAGGCAGCCGACGCATTCCCCCGCGGGGCGGGGGTCGGTAGCGACCGCCGAAATCCTGGTGGGGCGGCGGGCCTCAGCGACGACATGCTGGAGACCATCATCGATTTTAGCGCGGAGTGCGAGGGGCTCGGCTTCGGGCCAGACGCGATCGCCGACGCGCCCGCGGTCGCGCCCCCAAGCCCCTTGGGGGTTTTCGGCCCATCGGGCTGAGCTGTTGGCCACCTCCTCTATGGGGCCGAGTTCGTGGGGCTCCGAGATCGACCCTGGGCACGCTGGCGCATTCTGGGGGGGCCGAGGGCGCGCCGCCGAGGAGGCAGCATGGTGGCGGGCGCTTCGGTCGGAGGCTTCGCGCTCCAGAAGGGGGCGGCGCAGCTGCAGCTAATCGACCTGTGGGAGGCGTGCGAGCTGGTGGACGTGGCTATCGACCAGGATTGGAGCGTCCTGACCAAGTATCCACGGGGCCTCCCGCGCATGGCCCTCGTCGCGTACGCCGGCGAGCGTCGCTTCGTGCTGGGCCGCAGCGTTCCGGGGGCCTACCTTCTCGACGCCGGCCTCGTCGCCGGCTGCTCGCGCGCGGGGCGGCCGCGTGCAGCGCGGGCTCGCGGTCCTCGCGGGCGGGCGCGCGAGGCTCCGGGGCGCGCCGGCGGCGGAGCGCGGCGGCGGAACGCGCGGCCATGAAGGGCGGCGGGGCGGACCTTGTCGGCATGCCCTTGGCGGGCGACCTCTTCGCCGACGGCGGCTTTGAGGGCCAGGACCTAGGCCTAGTCTCCGCGCGAGGCGGCTGGGCAGTCGCGGTCGTGGGGCGCGACGCTGTGGCCGTCAGCCTTCTTGGGGTTTTGCCTTGGCCCTTCCCCCGGTAGTCGGGGGCGGCTGGGCTCCGCGCGGCCGTCGAGCCCTTTCAGGGTAGTCTGCCTCCCTTCGGGCTGTTCACCGACTGCTGGGCGCCCCTCGAGGGCGCCGCCGCAGGCAAGGCGTGGGGCCTGGGATGGCAGAGGCCCTGCGGGGAGCCCTGGAAGGAAGTTTGCATTGGCAACCTCTCTTTTCACGAGGCGAAGGCGCGCGCGAGCCTGGCGGGCGCGCGTGCGGATCGCATCGCGGCGTGGCAACCATTGCGCTGGCGCTCGGGCCGGCGATGGGGGCGCGCCTTCACTTCGCGGGCGCCCTGCGAGGCCGCAGCTGCCGCCTGGGCCGCTTCATGGAGAAGCTTGTCCGCTGGCTGGGGGCGCCCGCGAAAGCGGGCGACGCCGAGTTCGCGGCGGCCGACGGACATGTCGGGCAAGACCTCGACGGTGTCCGCTGCGACTGGCGAGCATGCCAGCTTCGCTGGAGGAGCCACTGCGGGTGCCCCGACTGCCCTCGATGCACGCGCGGGCGCCGCGACACCTGGCTAGGGAACCGACATCGGCGACGCGGTCTGGGCGCGCCTCGAGCGCGCCGGTCGCGGCGAGGCCATCTCGGGCCCATGCGCCGCCGGTGGCGCGCGGATCTCGGGCGCAGATTCACCGGCGGAGGCGCTTCTCGCGGCTGGCGGGGCGCTGCTTTCCAGCCAGTCGGACGCCTCGTCCGTTCCCGCTGGCGAAGGCGTCGTCGGCGGCGGCCCAGATGCGGCCGGCGGCGCGGGCCCGAGCGGCAGCAGCAGCGGCGACGGCGGTTGTCGGACTGCAGTCCCTGCCCAGCCGCCGCGGCCGCCTTCGCCAGGGCTGCCCCCATGCTAGGGGGTGAGCTCCCGCGATTCGCGCGAGCCTTGGTGGGCTGGCGCGCTTGTTCTGCATCAAGTGTGGGTGCTGGACGCAGTTTGTGAGGTTGGCGGGGCTCGCCAAGCAGTGCCCAGCGGCGCTCGCGGGCACAGGGCAGGAAGGGGGTCTTCGGGAGGTCGAAGCGCGGCCTCCAGCCGGCAGGGGCGGGATCGATAGGAGACCCCGAGCCCTTGCGACGCCTCTGCAGACGCTCGGGCTAGCAGGCGTCCGCTCCGTTTTGCCGCTCCGTTCGCTGACCGCGCGCAGTGCTGCGCTCGGCGCCGTCCGTTCGGAGGCATCTACAGAGCGGTGGCCGAGGCGCGCGCGCCGGCGCGCCGGCGCGTGGGGCCAGGTTCCAACGCCGCGGGCAATGCAGGCCATCGAGGGGCCAGGTGCCCACCGGGCGAGTCTCGCTGCTGCTGTCTAGGTGCATTGCTTGCTGCTCTCGTTCAGCGCGCGAGGCCTCGGCCCAGCGCTCGCCGCCATCCGTTTGCGCGCCTCGACGGCGCCTCTGCGTCGGAGGCTGCGCTTCTGAGCGGAAGCCGAAGCGGGCGCGCTGGCATTTGCTTGCGCGCGGGGTCAGACCCCGATGCCAGGGGCAAAGCAGACGGTCCTGTGTGTGGCCAGGTGCCTTTGGGGCGAGATGCTCTGTCGTTGGCAAGGCGCGTCGCTTGCCGCTCCCCCCGCGCGCGTGGCATGGGCTCGGTGCGTGTTGCAATCCGCTCTGGGAGGCTGAACCGCGGGCGCAGGTGGGTCGCCGCCGGCGTTCTGGATCGGGCTCCGCGCCGTCGCAGAGCAGCTGCGTTCAGTGCGCGGTCTGGCGTCGCAGGGGCTGTGTTGCTTAGCGTCGTTTCCGATTTCCCGCGCGCCCAGGGCGCGCGCTCAGCGTGCCGCCGTCTGCCTGTTGAGGGCAGGCCCTTGCCGTGCCGTGTGCTCTGCTTTGCGTGGCTTCCCTGGCGCGTTCGCGGCAACGCTCGCCGCTGTGTCACTGCCGCTTGGGCAAGACAGTGGGGAGTTCTGTCGGCGCCGACGCCCAGGGTCGCGCTCCGCATGCAACAGCGGTGCAGCGATGTCCGAGTGTGTGGCCAAGGGCCAAGAAGGGCACCGTTGCCTTGCCGATGTGCCCTTCTGGCGTCTGCTCGGGCCGCGCGCGCCGCGCGCGTTGCAGTTTTGTTGCGCGCCGGCCCGCCCGAGCTGCAGTGGCCGCGTGCCGAAGCGGAAGCTGAACCGAGAAGATAGGTGTCGCCACCGACGTTCTGGTTCGCCTCCTAACGCCATCGCTGGGCCAGGTGTCCTTCGGGTGGCCTAGGCTAATGGGGCTGTGCTGCTCTGCTTTGGCGCGTGTGTGCTCTGTTGCTGGCTGAGTCGCCGTGACTGCTCGGTTGCCGTGTCCGCCGTTTGCTTCGGCCAGGGCGGTGGGCGGTGTCGAGGCAGTCAAGTGGATCTGCGAGGGCGCCTCGTGCAAGAGACCACGCGTTGCCGCCGCAGTTCCACGTGGAAACGTTCCTGTCCGAGGGGCACTATGAGTTGGGAGTTCCTGACCTCTGTCAACGGGTGGAGCGCCATCATCATCAGCATCACCATCATCACAATCATCATCATCATCATCATCATCATCATCATCATCATCATCATCATCATCATCATCATCACCAACATCAGCATCAGCATCAGCATGCTGATGATCAGCATCATCATCACCATGGGCGTCATCACCTCTATCAACACCTTTGACACCATCATCATAATCATAATCCGCACCATCATCATCACCATCGTCATCATCATCACCAGCATCCTCAGCCCCATCATCATCATCATCATCATCATCATCATCATCATCATCATCCTCATCCTCATCATCGTCATCATCATCATCATCATCATCATCACGATCACCATCATCATCAACATAATCATCATCACCATCATCATCATCACCACCATCATCATCATCATCATCATCACCACCATCATCATCATCATCATCATCATCATCTGTCGTGCTCGCCCCTTTTCCGCGTTCGACTTCGCGCCCGCTGCGCGCTCAATGCCTGCCGCGCGTGCCGCGCGCGCCTGCTCAGAACGAGGCGGCGTCGACGACGGCGGCGGCGGCCCGCGTCCCTCCCGCAGGGCTGGGGCGCGGACGGCTGGGGTGGGCCTGGCGCTCAGCGGCGGCCGGCCGGGTTGCCCTCTTGCTACGAGGACCTCGAGATCCTGGTGCTGCAATTTTGTCGCAACGGGCGTTTTCGTCAGGTTTCGGGCCCCGGGACCCTCACATATCGATCCGTTTCGACAAATTCTGCAGAAAAATGTTGGTCTGGGGTTCTGGCCGTGAGATTTTTCGGTGTTGCGGTTCTCCCCTTCTTTGACCCCCTCCCCTTCGGGAAACTACCAGGCCTTCCCCTCGCCGCCCACAACAGTTCCGGGGAGCTTGTCTTAGCGACGAGCTGCGCAATAGAGTTCAATACGCCGTAACATGGCCTCAAAACGGCCGAGTAGGCCCCGATAGGTCCCCAAAATGCCCTCCCCGAGAAAACCCGAGGAGACGCACATTGCCCGATTCTTCTTGGAAGAATCGATTTCGCATTTTCGTTTTTCTGCCCGTAGCAATGTCCAAGACGGCCCCTAGGGGCCCCGAACATCGCTCAGGGCTTCAAAACTCGCTCCACGAGGCGCCAGGGAAACATGCCAAAAGCCCCCGCCGCTGAGGAACACGCGTTCACGAGCGCGCGGAACTCCTTGTGGGCCACGATCCGCATACAGTGTCAGCCGAATAATTCGGATGCCCCCTTGCGAACACGCCCACCGAGGCCGCAGGTGGAGCTCCTCTGGGAACGACCCGTGCGAGGCCTGTCCCGACATGGGCAGGGGTGTGCTATGCGAAGCTGCCCTTTGGTGCTACAGGTGGAGCTCTTTCTGGGGCATGATTCGCGTGGCGGGAGTGCCGGCATGGGGTGGGGGGACCCGTGCGAACCTTGCCTCTGGGCCTGTACGTGGTGCTCCCTGAGGGCACGCTCCGCGTGATGGGGTGTGCCGCCATGGGCGGGGGAGGGCGCAATGCGAACCTTGCCCCTGGGGCCGTAGGTGGTTATCCCTGAGTGCCGCGATCCGTGTGAGGGGTGTACCGAAGTAGGCGGGGGGTCGGGATGCGAACGTTTTCTATGGGGCCGTCCGTGGAATTCCCTGCGGGCCGCGATCCGTGTGTCAGGTGTGCCTAAGTTCGCGGGCTTGGGGCACGACCCGCGTGAGGGGCGTGCCGCTACGCGAACCTCGTGTCTGGGGACGTAGGTGGAGCTCCATGTTGGGCGCGATCTTTGCGAGGGGTGTGCCGTCATTGGCGGGGGGACGCTAAGCCAAGAGTGTCTCTGGTGCCGTCCTCTTGGGGGATGCTTTCAAAATAGGTAACGACTGATTTCGGTGCGAGCCTCAGTTCACGGCTACTTGGCTTTCACAATTGAGCTCTGGCTTTGGCGCCGGCGCGCTCATTTTCAAAAAGCAAGGGCTACACGGATGGAGGGTGCCCATGTCTCGGCATCTAAAAATACATAGAAGCCCTTATTTGCTTTGAAACAGTACGCTCAAACAGAGTGACAGTGACAATGCGATGGCAGTGCGACGGCAGTGCCCGCAAATGAACGTGTCAAGGCAGAGTCTACGAGGAGCCGTACTGTAAATGATCATGTTTATGGATGCGTGTAGGGGCGCCCAGACACGACAGCCAACTTAATACTTGGCAGCGCGTCGTGAAATTTACGAATACATTGCGCAATGAAGCCGGTACCGTCGGATTGATGCGCGCATGGGCAGCTTGGCAGCTAGCAGCGGACAAGGGCCAGCGCGACATGGTGTTTTCTGCAATCTTGGATGCGGCGCGCAATTTTACGATAATTCAGAATTGCTTTGCTGGTGTATGTGCCCAGGGAGTCTTAAGACTGGCGTCCTTGAGCGATGGAGCCATGGGTCGGGTGCTGGTGTTTAGATCGCGGGGTTACGAGAGTGTTTACACATGCGTTGTCATTTGTGGTAATCAGCGCATGGATATTGAGGTATTGCTTGGTGTTCGCAGTGATTCGAGACACACGGTCTTGGCGCAATTTTTCTTTCGCAGCGACGCGGTGGTAGAGCAAGCAAGACGAGAAGCGCCAGGAATACCTCAATCCGAAGGTGATCACAACGAGCAGGTCATCAACTCGCCATCTGTTCGGTCGCTGGTGACACTGAGTTATGTGCCAGATCTTGGACTGGGTGCGGGACCAGGAGTTCCTGAAGAAAACGACGATGGTGAACCACACGCGGGGTTTCGTGCAAAATGGCAACGATAAGTTGAAATAGGAGATTCCCATCATGTGCTGTCTACCGAGGAGGATGATTGGAATATTGTGCCCCGTTCTTCTACGCCGCCCGAGTTGTTTTTTTGCTGGGCTTCGGGTACCTGCGTGATTATGGTGAGGTGCCCTTCATGCCAGCTGCGCCGATATAGTGATTTACGCGCGTTGTTGGAATGCGGCAAGGGTGCGAAGACCTTCGCCGCGGGGCTCGCGAAGGGTAATCGCGAGGTGGTGCAGATGGCAATGTGGGATCCTGCGGGGATGCAGCTGCCCGTTGGCTTGACCGACGTGAGCGGTTATCTCCTGGATCATGCAACATGGCAGGACAGTGATGTATGTTTGCTCCACGTGGGCCATGCGCGTATCAAGAGGGCCCTGATCGAGACGAGCGAGCAAGACGCAATCTGACATGGATGTTGCGGACGAGAACCTCAAGGGACAGAGCTGGCCACGGCAGCATCTCTGGCGGAGGCACTCAGGTGGGTAGGCAAGGAGTCGATCAAGCGTCAAAGCAGGACGGAGGCATGGACCTTGCTAACTAGACGGCATGTGTTCACATGGATGCTACATAATTACGGTGCCCGCGTCATGGAGTGTTGATTGGCAGTGCATGGTTCCGAAGATGTGGAGCGATGGCATCTGGAGAAGGTCGGTGGCGACGCAAGTTCTTGGGGCCGCGGTGGCCACGGCAAGTCAGTCAGACTGGTCACTTGTTGCTGCTCGATATATGGAAGGCGTTTCTCCAAGGACAGGCGTTCGACGAGGTGCAGATTCGTGGCGGGCCCGAGAGACAGGTCTCAATCGTATGGCCGCGCGGGCGAGGCGTAGGTTAACCGGCAGACAGCATTGTTCTGAGGGCCAACGAGGGCTTCGAGAGTTTGGGCGATGATGCATATTTCTTGGGCATGGATCGATGCCCCCAGTGTGGTCGCGACGATGGCCGACGAAGTTCTGAGGCAGCCGCGTCAAATTCTAAGATCTATCCAAAGCTTGGGTGTGGCAAGCTGATTCTGTCGGTAAGCATCCACATGGGCGACTACGAGGTCTTTGGAGGGTTTCATGCGATATTTCAGAAACGCTTCGGTGCCGACGTCAAGATGGACATCAGGCATTCACTTAGTCACGCTGGCATTAGACATCGGTTTGTTGAAGTTGGTCAGTGTATTCGCTCGGGCCAGTTTGAGTTCGCCCTAGACTAAGCCGTTGGCAGCTACAGATTTCAAGAAACTGAGTGGCGCGCAACCATTGGCAGAACAGTTGACTGCATGTTTCTTGATGTCGTTGGGGGCAATGGCATGGGTGGTGCGGACACGGCAGGGGATCATGATCTATGCGAGTTCGTTGCAGCTTTTTGCAAAGAAACGGGCGGTGAGGGGTTTGAAACGAATCATTGGGTTCTGCAGACACTTGTAAAGCAACCCCGCGCGGACAGGAGTGCCGAAGGATCCATGTGCCAGATGGCTTTCACCAAGCTCCTGGTGATGCAGAGAATGCCGCGGTCCCGCTTGTTACGAAACGATATGTGATTGGATTGCTACGTTCTGTTGATGCGATGAGCACGCGCAAGTTTCAGGTGCTCGCGTGTTTGCGTGGAAAGCGAAGTAACTAACGTGCGTCGAGGAGAACGGGGTGAATCACAGTCTATGTTTGGTGTTGGACATGCTGGTAATGCTTCTAACGTTTTTGAGAAACCGCGACTGGCGCCACAGGGGATTGACAAAGACGGGGGCCCCGCGTGACTCAGGTCGTTTTCTTTCGAGTTGAGCACCGCATTAATTCTGGCTATGACGTTATGTCCTTGAGTGTTGACGGCACGGCGATGGGCAAGTTCGATCGGCGTGCTACGCAGATGGATGCAAAGTACGCGGACGCTTCTGCGCACATGCAAGGCTTTTCGAGCTGAGGATATGCAGGCGGGGACCACCCAGACTCGTTGCTGGCAGGTGGCAGGTTTCGGCGAGAGTCACTCCGGCCATCGCGGCGGAATGTTTTGTTGCGCGGTTTAAGCTTTTACGCCTGAGACACTTCTGTTCGAACGGCAGACGAGAGTCTGCAACCAGGGCCTGTGCGATCGCTTCTGTATTCTGACGTTCAAAGCAGATTGTTGTAGCGCGTTTCGCATGTGTACCTTTCACGCTCCTTTCTTCACGCAAGCATGCTCGTGTTTTTAGGGAGCATCGCGCCCAGAATGGCTTGTAAAGAACGCAGGTCGTGTCGCCCGATGGCAACAGTATCCAATGCATGATGTAGGTGGACAGCAGCTCTTTCAGGGTTTAAGCTGCGCAGTCAGTGATACCCTAACTATTGCAAGCTGTCCCTGAGAGATCAACAGGACAATTTCTATGGATGTCAGATTTTGTTGTTGGTGATTGCGCTCTGTGCCGACGAGCTTGGAGATCGCGCCATGCTCGTGCGAGTGGCAGAGTTGAAGAGAAGTCGTCCGCGTCGACATCAGCTCAGAGAACTGAGCGATGAGTCTGTCTACGCCTCTTGCCCTGGGTTTTTAATTACCCGAGTCCAAGCCCCGCCCACCATCGCTGATGTTCGGGTCCCCAGGCATCGTCCAGGCACATTGGAACGGTAAAGTACGCATGGAATCTTAGGGCGGTGCCAGTTGTCAGTTCAGATTTGGCTTCTAGCCCCTTCCCCCCCAGAGTTCTTGCGCTGTGTTCTGGTCTTCCTTGGCGCGCCACGGCCGTTTGCGGGGCCCGGGAAGAAACTGGCGTTCCGAAGCATGGAACTCTTGCGGTAGTAAGGGCAGCACGACGCCGGCTTGTGGCGCGCGATCCGCCGAGGGTCGCCGATGGTGGTAGACGATGGGTTCATGGGGGGCACCGTCGACGCTTTATCGTCCATTCATCACCGATCGGGGCTTGGGTGCCCCGCCGCCGATGTACTGTACATTCCGGGCCGATGTCCCCCCCGCGCCCCGCGAGCCAGTGCAGTCAAGACGCTGACAATAAGGGCCGCTTTGGGTTCCGGGGGGTCGTTGGTTTTCGGTTCTAGGTCGGGGAACATGTTCGTGGCTGGGCATAACCGTGGCCAGGGTAACCCCGTCGCTCCTATTTCAACGGTCCCTTTTGGTAGCGCGATGGCTGGACACCCCTCTCAGCCCCTCCCGCCCCTCCGGAGGTCTCCAGAGGCCCCCGGAGGCCCTCCAAGCTACGGGGCCAGAGCAGATGGGGTCGGAGGATCGCGCCGCATCGCCGATACATCGGCGACCCGGCGCGACCTGGAGCTCGATCTTCTCCGTCCCGACGTCGCTCACGCATCGACGACGCATCGGTGATGCGGTGCGGATCTCCGACCCCATCTGTTCCGGCCTCGTTTTCCGGACACAGTAGGGAACCATAACCACAATTGCGTGGATTTTTCGGGTGGGACCCGCTGGGAACCACCCATCGACGTCGGCATGAACCTTTTGGTTGGGATTGTGGTAGATTTTGCCGTCCTGGGACGCCACGTCGACCGCAACCAGCACTAAGCTGGCTTCTGTGTTCTGACGATTGTTGGCGTGACCAGGACATCCCCCAGGGTGTGTCCTCGGTGTGGTGGTGGTCGCCGACTGTCCCGCAGTTTGGTGGGCTCCATCTCCTTGCCGCTCTTCATCCTGATTCATTTTCCCGCAGAAGAGAAACAGCATAAACCATTACCTTTTTCTGAGCTCCGCTCCGATTTCTTGGATCTGCGCCGGGTCCCCCTGGCGGCAACTCTGCCTGGCGCGCTTCACGCGCTGGGGAGGGGGTTCCAGCGCCAGACCTCCGAAGGTCTATGCTTGTACAGCTTGTTCTTCCTCCATCTTCGGAGGCGCCGAGGCCTGTTCAGCGGGCTTCGGGAGGCTAGAGACTGGGGGCCAGTTCCTCGCCGCCGCGATCCTTGTCGGGTCGTTGCGCCCAGTGGGCACAGAAGCCGCTGTTGAAGGAAGTGGTGTTTGCGCCGCTCTGGCTGGGCTGCGGATTGAATCGTGCTGATGCTCCTTCCGCGCTCCCGGCTGGTGGTGATGCCTGATGGCGACCGAGAAAGCAGCATGCCTCCTTGCAGTGCGCGTGCTTGTTCTCAGTGCTGGGGTGGGGGGCGAGGGGGCATATCATCTAACAGTGTGCTGCATTGGCGCCCAAGTGGTGCACACTTTGCTCTTCCACCCTGCCACCGGCTGCCGCTGCCTCGGCCTATGCGTAAGAGTGGCCCTTCGCTGAAGTGACCTTTGGTGCGGGACGCGTCGGACCGCGCGCTTGGATCAGGCCCCCCGCAGCCTCCTAAAGCCGCACACCAACGAGCGCCCTTGAATGGGGCCACTCTTCCGTCTCATTTCCCCCCCCTCGTCGTCGTCGTCATCGTCGCCGTCGCCTTCTTCCTCCTCCTCCTCGTCCTCCTCCTCGTCCTACCTGGCCAGTGTTCTGCATGGTGGAGCCTCCTCTCCCTCGGTATGGAAGCCCGCGGGCTTTCGCCCCGCCGATCCTTTCAGATTTTCGTAGCCTAGTGCTCTCGGCTTCGTAGAGACCCGACGGCGTGACCTTTCACGACGTGGCTCCTCACAGGGTTACGGTAAGTAACTTTATGATAGCACGTCGGTCCGCTGGTTCTGGCCCACCACGCTTCGGTGCGGCACGCTTTTCACGGCCCGTCCCCAGGCTTCAACGTCCCGGGCCTTCGAGCCTCCCGCCCCGCGGAGCGGATCGATATGCTAGCCGCTCGCAGGGCATAGCGTGTCGCCAGGGCCGACGCGGCGACATGCTAAGCGAAAGTTCCCGACCGTAGACCCTTCTGCGCAGTCTTTCATCCTTGGTGGGTTTTTGACGGTCCCCGTTGCCGGCGAGGGCGCCGGGAGGCAGACAGAAGTGTCAGGTCGTGATCTTCCCACGACGAGAGGAGCCCAGATCATTGGATACTCGATATGTTTGGTCGCGATCGGTAGCGACTGATCGGCACTCCAAATCGATCGCGACCGATTTTGACGCAAATCGGTCACGACCTATACTGGAATTTAGCCAAAGTTGGTTACCAACTGCCCCGAATATTAAATCATACCACCCCCGTAATCCCTGAGAGGTTAATCTCCCCGGCCAATGCAGATTTGATCGGGGAAGAAGGGCGGCAAGGTCGAACTTGATATCTCGGGCCGAACGAAACTGGGGGATGGGATACGGAAAGGGGGGGTTACGAAATCTGCTGCATGCAGCTGGTTTCAGCCCCACCGAGGGGCCCATTCCTCGATACATGGCCGCCTCCGGCGCCGGGAGGCGCTGGGAAAATCAGCTACGTGAGCTGATTCTCAACCCCCCCCTTTGCTATCCCCCCCTTTCGCCCGGCCCGATCATCGCGGGGGAAAGTTGCGAATCGAAGTTGCTATCTTCTTATGTTGAGTAGCAAGGATCCCTAAGGATTCCTGAATCCCATGGATTTCCCCAGGGACCCGACGGATTTCCGAAGGAACCCGATGGATCTCCAAAGGAACCCTATGGATTCTCAAAGGATCCGATGGATTTCTAAGAAATCCGATGGATTTCCTAGGGAATCCGATGGGTTTCCTGAGGAATCCAATGGGTTTTCAATTGAATCCTTTTGGATTTCCTACGGAATCCTTTTACTCCTCCTTGCGCTCCCGCCCCGAACGTTTTTATCCCGGCTGTTTTGTGACGGGCCGCCATGGATCTTACACATGCGCCATTGGAAACGATAGAAAAATAGAATATTGCACATTGAAAACTCTTATGTCCTGAATCGGAGTTCTTTTTCGAAAACTGGTCCTGGGGCTTCTTCTCCTCATCTTCCTCTGCATCATCCTCCTCTTATAGAGTTCCTAAGGAGTCCTAGCAATTTCATAAGGAGTCCTAGGAATCCGATGGATTTCGGAAGGAACGCCAAGGATTTCTGAAGGATTTTATGCTGCGTCCAGCATCATCTTTATCATCATCATCATCGCCAACATCTTCATCATTATGCTGCGATCTCAGAGAAAACGTTTATTAAATATCCCTTTCGGACCCCGAACTTTATTATCCCCACGGGATTCATATCAGGAGCACCGGGTTAGCGACCGATCTCGTCGGTCGCGACTCTAAAATTCAAATATCCGATGATCAGTCAGGGCCCTCGTGATCTTCGTCTTGTTTTCGGGTCGCAGCTCCGGCCCGGCGGCCGATCGGGACGATCTGGGCATCCCCAGAACGTTCTCGGCGAGGCGCAGCTGCTGGAAAGCACCCCGATGCTCGAGAACCGCCAGTGCGTACGAAACGCCCGAAAACTCCAATCCTCACGCGCGCAGCCGAGGGTCCTCTGCGCCCCGCCCCGGGCCCCCGTCCGAGGTGCGGAGGGTGTGACTTCTGGGGCGGCGGCAAGGGCTGGGGCGCTGGCCCAGCCTGCGGTGGGGTCCTCGGCCCCCGCGCATGCGCGAGGGGTGGTCCGGCGGGAGACGCAAGAGGGTACCGGGCCTTGTGAGTCATGATCGATTGTCGAGTCGATGGTTAGTTAGTCCTCGATTGTCGATGTTGGTTCCGATGGCGTGCCTTGTCATCGATTGTTGATCCTGCGAGATCCTGGCGTCGCGCTGGGATCGACTGTTGATCCTTCATCGCCGCCATGATGTACTGGACAAGAACTGATGGGCCTCCCCAGACAACGGTGTCCCTGGCCCAAGGTGTCCTCTCGCGGCGGTCCTCCTGGGACCCAGATCTGTGACGATCAGATTTTGTCATTCGGGTGTTTTTCTGCGATTTTTGGCTCTGGGGCTTTTCTTTGGGCCCAGAGACAGGCCAAAACGCATCCTGGACGAAAAACGGAAATGTGCCCCTGGCCCAGGATGTCCGCAGAATTTCCATGCAGGCTCAGAAGGCCTCGAAAGCACCCCTCGCCCTTTCACGGGGCCCAGAGGGCCCCAGGGGCTCCAGAGTGGCGCGGGAATCTGCGGACACGTCGGTTCCGGACCAATTCTGGCAGCACCCAGCAGACGGATGGTCTTCAACGACTGATGGTTTTGACGGTTTTCGGTCTTGGGGGCCTTTGCCAGTCCCAAGGGCCGTCAAGAAATGACCCGCTTGACGGAGAACCGTCCTGGGAAATGGTCGAGACCTCTGGGTGTCCACGTCGTCACGTCCTAACACGTAATAACAAGTCACGACATCGGAGGACTCGGTCTGAGTCTCGGCCTCGTCGGTTAGGCGGGGGTGAGGTGGTTCTCGTGGGCGTTGAGGAGGGGGGGTGAGGATTAGGGGTATGTAGGCATGTGCGTGTGTGTGGATATCATGGCCGGGGCCATTCAGCCTACCCAGTTTCACGGTCCCTTCTTCTTCTTCTTCTTTCCAGAACGTCCCTGTCCACCCCCCTTTGTCCGCGCACGTGCTTCGGGCCATGATGCACTTCACCCCCCTCTTCCTGGAACCTCTTCTTCGGCGCGCCCTGGATTCGGGCCGGCGGAACTTTTTTGAGCTCGAGTCGTCGATCAAAGGAGTCCGCGGTTCGATCGGTTCGGCTGCCCCTGTCAGTTCCGTGCGGCCGGCTCGGATCGGTTGCTGTTGTGTCGTTCTAACTTTGGTTTGCCAACGCATTTTGATTGCCCCGTCCTGAATTTTGACGGTCAAGTTGTCGCGGAAGGTTTGCAGCAGGAGCCCGCGTCAAATTTCGGATTGTGTCTCGTTGTTTTCTTGACAGCCCCGTCAGGCCAACCCGAGTCGTAATTACGTCTTCCCGATTGTTGCGCCGCCGCGCCCTTTTGGGCTGCTGCGGCCTGTCGGCTTCGGCTCGCTTGAGATTTGCCGTCAATTCGGTCGTTTCCTCGTCTGTGCTGCTGTCGCCATGGGCAGCCTTGACGATCGGACCGAAAGTCGCAACCGATGGTTTGGGTGACTGCACCTCCGGGTGAGTCGCAGGTGCCTCGGGGCCGGCGGGCCTTTTTGGGGGGGATCCGAGGACGCCTCGAGCGCCCGGCAAGGGTCGCTCGCGCCCCCGAACTCGCCAGGCGGTGCGCCACCGTACGGCTTGCGCCCTCCCAGTAATTAGGCACGGGGCCCGCAGCGGCCGCAGCCACGCAGGCCGTCGGAGGCTCGCGCGGGCTTCGCGGCCCAGCGCTGGGCTCCCCCTCCCACGCGCGGCGCGCTCCGCTCCCCGGGGGAGGGCGGGGTAGGGGGCCACATTCGAACCCTACCCCTGCCCCCCACGATTTCTGAGGGGGAGGGTGGGGTTCACTCCGTTCGGGAGCTCCCGAGCGGAGTGAATCCCCCCCTCCCCCTCAGAACTCGTGGGGGGCAGGGGCAGGGTTCGAATGTGACATTTGAATGTGGCCCCCCATGGCGGGGAGGGGGGCACGTCGCCGATCCGACGAGTCCGCGGGGACCTCCGGCAGCGTGTGTGCTTACGGCCAAGACGTCGGGAGCCTTGAGACGGGGGTCAATGCTGGCGGGGGTCGGTCAGAGCGCCGGATCTTGCAGGTTCCTGCAGAGCCCGGGCTGCACTGACCCGGGCTTGGGTGCAGGACCCTGCAGGATCTTGCAGGATCCTGCACGGCCTGACTGACCCGCGTTTGGATTGACCCAGGTCAGGAGATCCCCGAAGACTTTGAAATACCGAAGAGTTTAGGTTCTGAATGGGCTCGTGATTCCCAATAGGACCTTCCACGGCTGTTTCTCTTGCGCTCTTCGTCCACGCAGGCGCTTTCTGGGGCCCAGCAGGGGCTCCGTTCCTCATCCCGCGTTCCTCGTGTCAGCAGCCCGGCTGTATGCAGATGTTCGACTCTCTGCTCGGACTGGTGGGGGCCGCGCTGCGAACGTTGCGGAGGGTTGTCGACTACGCCCGCGGCGAGGCGAGGCAACGCGGCCCCCCTGCCTCTTGGGAGCGCCCATGTCGTGACATGTGGAGCGAAAGGTGTGGCCACGCTGATGGGCTGCGAATTCTGGGAAGGGCCTTCCTGCTGGGGGTCGTCTCGGGGCTCGCTTGTGGCTCTTTCCAGGGCTGCCGGGCTCTCTTCGGGGCCTCTCGGGTCCGTCTCCGGGCCCTCTTGGGCTGTCTTGGGCGCTCTTGGGCCGTCTGGCGCCCTCGGCGGCCATCTTGGGGGCCTCTCTATAGCTCTTCTTGGGGCTCTCGCGGGACCCTTTGGGGCCGTCTGCGGGCTATCTTGGCCGTCTTGGTCCCTCGTGTCTTGGGGTCCTCTTGAGGGCCTCATGGGCCGTCTTGGCGTGGTATTTTGAGCCTCTTGGGCTGCCCTGGACACTCGGCGATGATACGGAAATGCTTGAACACCTTACGTGGCATTCATGATTTTGCTGCTCGAGGCCCTCCTCAGGGACCTCTTGGAGCCTTCTTGGAGCGTCTTGTGGCTTCTTGGGCCGTCTTGATGCCATCTTGGCCTGTCTCGGAGCCATTTTGGGCCATCTTGCAGGCATCTTGAGCCTACTTGAGAGGGCACTTCGGCCATCTTGGAGGCCTCTTGGAGCCTGCTTGGGCGGACAAGTTGTTGCGAACCCTCTCCTGTATGGTGGGTGGCGCGGCCTTCTCAGTGGCCAGCGGACCGAGCCGAAGGCCACTGGGCATTTCTTGGAAGGGCCCCGATCAGTCATCAAGCTTGGCACGCCAACACCCCTCCGGGGGCCTCTTGGCTGCCTCTTGGGGCCCTCCGGTGGGGGCCTCTTGCAGGGCTCCCGGGGCCCTCTCGGAGGGCCCAGGAGGGGCTCCGGGATTCGTGGGGCCGAGGCGCGCCACTCGGAGTGGAGAGCGCTTCGGCCCCACGAATGGGGCCGAGGCGCGCCACTCGTGGGGGGGGGGGGGCGGTAGCGTCACGTTGCGCGCTGGCGCCGTTTGGGGACGTCGGGGATTAACCAACCGTCGGACGTCAGAACGACTCGTGACCCTACCTGGCGGCGGGGGGGAGGGAGCGCCAGGGCCGGTGACGGCCACTGCCGCGAAACGCTCTCGCGGGGGTCGGCAGCCTCCACTCGGCGGCCAGCCCGGGGGGGAGGTGAGAAGGAGCGGGCCTTCTCCGAAGGCTCAGAGGTTCCCCGGCCTTGCGAGAAGTTTCCTGGGCCGTCCCCGAAGACAAAGAGAAGTTCTCAGGGGGCGCGAGGACTTCTGTCAGGAGGGAAAGGAACACACAGACACAATTAATCGTCGATTCCCAGGAAACTATGGGAAAATATGGGAAGTGGGGGGAAAGACGAAAACCCAGAAAGTATGGGAAAGTATGGGGAATCTGGTTATTTGTGTCTGTTTATTTGTGTGTCCCAGTTTCCCTTCATTCCGAGAAGTCCCTCCGCCTCCTCTCGGCTGCACGTGAGAGCGACCCTTCGCCGGAGTGACCTTTGTGGTGCGGGCCCACCGTGGCCCCCCGATCGTTGAAAGCCATGCGATGGCAGCGGCCTGCGGCCACGGGTTTGGCTCCCTCGCGGACCCCCCCCCCACAGCCGCGTACCAAAAGTCACTCTTGCCCAGGGTCACTCCTGCGTGCAGCCGACTCTGAGGAGGCCTTCTCCTTCTCACTTCCCCCCCTCTCAGGCCGAACGAAGGGGGGGCCAGAGCCCCATAGACCCCATCTTTCTGAGCCATTCTTCGAGCCGGATCGATCTGGGAGGGTCCCAGGGCTGGACATCGACGCTTCTCGTGTCCCCACCAGTTCCGTAGCCTGGCTCAAGCGTTTGGCTCAAGCCATTCTTTGTCAAGGCTAAGCACTCGACGCCTCGGTCCCCGCGGCCGCCTCCGCGGCTTGGCCAGCTGCGCACGGAATGTCCGCCGCGGAGAAGGCCGGCGCACCCGCTCCTGCGTCGCCAGTCCTCTCGGCGGCGACGACGGCCAGCCCGCCGACCTCGCCGGCCTCTGGCGGCGCCGGCAGCCTGGAGGAGTTCCTCCCTCTCGAGTTCGGCGACTGGCCCGCCGAGCTCCAGAGGAAGAACGGGTCCTTGTCCTGGGCCCCCAACCTCAACCTCCAGAGCCTGAGGCGCACGTCCACAGCGCCGCCCGCGACGCTCGAGGCCCCCGCGGGCCTCGGCGAGCGCGCGCCCGGAGCCGCGGCGCCCGCGCCCGGCGCGAGCGGGCCCGCGACCCCGCCGGCGCCGCCCGCGCCCGCCGGCCCCCCCGCTGCGCCGCGCGGCACGGCCGCCGCCGCCGAGGGCGCGGCCGGCGGGGCTGCCGCAGCGCCGCGGGCGGACCCGGCCGGCGCGGCGCCGGTGCCGCGGGCGGGGCAGCGCGGGCGCGGCGACGAGGGTCGAGCGGGGGGCCCCGGCGGCGGCGAGGGCGCCCCCCTCCCGGGCGGCTGCCTGCAGCGGCGCGCGCTGCGGGCGGCCCGCAGGGCCATGCATGGAGGCGAGAGGGAGCGCCAGCAGGCCCCGCGCAGCGCGCGCCCGCCGCCCGCGTTCGACGCCGAGGTGTGCCGCATGTGGCTCAGGCTCCTGGAGGCCGAGGAGACACGCAGCGGCGTGCTCGCCGGCGTCCTCGAGCACGCGATCCCGCTCTCGCTCGGCTCGG